ATACAACCTCAAGCTGACATCTCCCATCTTCGGGATGAATTAACAAGGAGGAGCTTAACATTTTACATCAAATGTTTTAAATTTTTAAGAAGTTTTTAAATATTTAAATATTTTAACATTGACGTTTTAACTTGAGGGCAGTTTCGGATGGAAGGTGAGAACTGATAGTGCACTCAACTATCCTAGCAAGTGTTGTGCTTTTACACGTCGACATATCGTAGCAGTGTCCACACAACAAACATAAATGTGTACATCATAAACAACGACAGTGTTTTCATAATTGTAGTAAGTGCCTCTGATGATGGTTGTGTCAAACCGAAAAATGTAAGGCAGAAGTGATAAAGAAGTGACCTATAAATTGTTACACTCGACGGACTTTTTATTAACTTTGTGTGTAATTTCTCTCTTGAAAGCAGTCACAACACAGCAATTAATTATATATGTATGTAGTTTCAAGAAGCTGTAATCCATTTCCTCACCAGATTGGACATATACACATAAATGGAGGCACAAGTCAAAGAGAAATCAAAATTAAATAATAACGTACACATAGCAACGGACCTCCAAGCACCATAACCGTCTGTGTACACAACATGTCCGCATAAGCACCACCACATAGTATTACGATTACAACTACTCACTTTGAAAATATAATTATATGTACAGCTCTCAACTGTATTTTAATTATGTAACTAGTTCATTTTAAGACTTTTACTTTTATTTTAACTTTATATTATATTATTTTATATTACTGTATACTATTTGGAAAATCTAATACTAAATCGTCAAAGGTACTTAGAACACTGCCTGTATTTGGATTTCCTTTTAGGGGTATTATTGTGGCTGAAAAAAAATTGGGGGAAATACTTTTTGATTTGCCTTTGTAATTGTACACATGATGAATTTTGAAAGCCATGTGCATTTCACAGATTGGTGTGAGCCTGTCAAACTTTCCAACAGCATGAAGAACTCTGTTCTACAAGTGCTGTAGTATCAAGAGGTGAGTGTCCACTACATACTCCCAGCTGTAACACATATAAACCATCATTGACCTAATCAGGGTTTTATAAAGAGTAAGTTTAATATTAATACTGTCACGTATTGAGGTAATGCAACAAGAAATTACGGGTTCCGGATTAGACGAAGATGTTTATAGGACAACTACTCATTTACACTCACAATTACAATTACTCTCATATAATGCCCTTTCAGATGAAGCAACCTGATTAGTTGGTTGTCTCTCATGTTTCCTCTTCAACGATTATACTCTTGCACCGCTATTCTCAGTGGAGTGGCTTTGCTCTTAGTTCTTCTTTTACCTCTCATTGAATCTGAACTGCTCTGTCCTCAAGTCAAAGTCAAAGTCACATTGCGACTGACGGTCAGTCAGTAAGTTTTGGTGCCGAGCCCCATCTGGAGCTCATGACCAGATATTTATTACTGTTTGACAGTTACGGTCTTGTTTCTGTGGGGCACCATCCCTGAAGAAAGGACGGGTCTGTTGTTTGTATGTGGTGCTGGCCCCTGCCAGGGCAGTCTTTCTTGGGTCCGAGTCCCTTAGTACTCGCAACCATATTTTACTGTCTGATTTGAGACTTCCCTTTTTGTCGCCTCCTACAACTCACAGGGTCACGGTGAAGGTATTCGACCCCGCCTCCACACAGCTGCACTTTGTCCTGTGTTCCATCTGGTCTCTTATATCCTACACTCGGACAGGATAGACGACACCTTGTCACACCCTGCAGTTTCACGGTTTCTGTTACAATGGCTGCTAGCACCTTATAACAGTGGGAATCCACTGTTAGGGTTTCTTTTCCAAGGCAACGTCTCTGTTGTCTAGGCAGTTTCTTAGGTAGTCACCTTTCCATGTATTTGTTGCTGCTGAAGTAGGCGTTCCCATTGCAGCTGTTGCGCAGGGATGAGCATCATATAGTCCAGCCTTTAGGCAGCATGCCACATTACAATTATTGTTTCTGGACATTATCCAATATCCTGTTTTTCTCATTTAACCCGTTGCCGTGGTTCGTCGTGTATGTTTCGTCAGGGATTTAAATCGTCTGGGGGGGTTCGACGTGTATGTTTCGTCCAGCTGCACACGTATGTTATAACGCCCATAATAATTGATGGTTTTGCTGTAGATTGTTAGATTTTTCACTGGCCTGTTGTCAGGAGGACTGTATTTAATGACACACGCGTTTAAGAGCGCTAAGTCGTCGTTACATATGCCTGTCTTGCAGCAACGTTCCTGTGGCTATTGCGAGCTGTTTCTGTTATGAATGATGTGTTTTCTTTGCTCTGAAGCTATAAACACCAGAGACTGATATGTGCTGGTGTTTATAATATCATATTGCCCTGAGCTGGCTATTCAATTGGAATTCTTAGAAGAGGGATGTACAAAAGTTTATGCCTGCAAAATCGATTGCTTTCGCACAGTACATAGCACCCATTTCTTAGAAAAACGCCACAATTTAAGGCAGAACACTGTGGTCACCCCCTGAGACGATACGGATGTGTGTGGGGGAGGGAAAAGAACTCATTCCTTCGCTCATTATCGCTCCAGTTGACTCCATTTTATCGTACTGACCTTGGTGGTCGTTTCGAGGGATGACCATAAATATTTTTTTGAGCCAGCTAAGCTCTACTTTCGTTCACTACATACCAGACAGTTCTTAGAATAACTTCATGAATTCTGTGGTCACCCCTACGACATCTCCTGCCGCCAAAATGGATGGAATATCAAAGGCATAGCAACAACCCCTTGTTATGATAACTCGTAACGTTGAATTTACTACAGCTGACCTGGCAACTAAACGGGTCACGGAAAGACATTTCCTTGAAGTATACCCCTCACGGGTAAGAAGGCAAGGCCGCACATATGTGTGGTTAAAAAAAAGGGCCAAAAAAAATACACAATATTGGAGCGGAGAATGGTGAACGTGGGGCACCGTTGGGTTATACGAATGCTTCAAGGCCTTCCTTCTACTAAACCAACTGCCTCCATTACCGAGATACAGGGCGCTCATATTATAAGGTAAGGTTATAAAACCACCATTTAAGATCATTTTAGTGAAAGTTTCATCCTTCAAGGCGTACCATTCACTGCTGAAATACTAAACAACCTGCTTCCATGGCCGAGATACAGGGCGCCCATATTATAAGGTAAGGTTATAAAACCACCATTTAAGATCATTTTAGTGAAAGTTTCATGTTCCTATCTCATAGAATTTAAGAACAATGATGAATAAATAATTTTCGAGCAAAATTTAAATGGCCGGCTGAATATATTACCGCAGGAGCCGCGGCCGCGGAATTTAAATGACCACGTCAAAGGGTTAAAACATGCAATGTTTGAGGGACCAGAATCTGCCACTTTCTTGAGGTGAACCCTACTCAGGTGGGCCCAATCAACTGACCTAGTCCCTATCTCTGGACCAGGAAAATGTCCAGAAACACAATAACTGTATTAATTTACCATTACCACTACGTTTAAATATTATTTAACATTAATGCTTAAGCGCTTACTTTTGAATGGGGAATAGTCTATGTATTGCGACCTGAGCTTTGACTCCAGTCCCTTCGATATGGAGTCTCCACATCATCCTCCTACTGAAGATGACACCAAGATACATAACATTACCTACAAAGGGGATGTTCCTCCATTTAGCTATAGTATGTGCTCAGGGACTCTTGTCCTCTAGAGAAATAGATTGCCTGAATTTCCCTTCATTGATATTCATGTTCCAGTACTCAAACTTTTCTTCATGGTCCTCGCTAGATAGCCTCGCATGGATTGCACAGAAAGCACCGTGTCCAACAGTTGTTTACTGAGCTGCTGCCTACTAATGGCCGTCACTTCTCGCTCCCTTACTCTGGCTCTCAGCCGTCATGTTATGATATTGTATTATTTGCTTGACAATTACCTTCAAGTCATAAAAAGAAACCTTTCCAGCTGTACAATTTTCCTGCCACAAAATTCGCAGTCCACATAAAAACACAGTACCACAGTCCTTTTTAAATTATACCGGCACAGATTACTTGCGAATGTTGGAATCTGATTTACAAACTCTCTTACCTGTACACAATTTCCAAAGAACTTTCATACTTCTCGAAAACACGCCAAATGGCATTAGTACGCAGCTTATTAAATTCGTTTATTGCTTCACCATAGTCTTGAGGGTTGTCAGTTGTGCTATAGGAAGATGAAATTAAATTTTTTAATGGTTTTACAATATCTACTTCTGAAGGCTTCTTCAGTGGTACTGCCAATACTTCCGCCATTTCCAGACTCTTCTTAATACAAGACACAACCTAGATCACCTAGATGACTTACACGACCTAGACCCAGACTTTTTACAATACACTCAACTCACGTAACCTCTTTCACCGCCTTTTATTGGCGATGACGGTCGTTATGGTCGTTACTGTCGTTACCGCGGTGGTTACTGTAGTTACTGGGCAGTACTGAAAAATGACGTCACATCCTGTCACCGTACGACACATAAACTCGCTTTCCTGGAAGATAACTGAAATAGGAAGGTGCTGAAACCCAAGTTTATACTCGTTCGTAAGCTTCGTAAGAATGTTGGTTAACCTGTTGTACTAATTACAGAATCTATAAGACGAGGCTCCGGAAATCGTGTATGTTGTGTAAATTGCAGGATTGCGGGAATGAGTAGGTTGGTAATATTTTTAGTAGAAGTGTCTGAAGGCATCATCCTTAGTTGATTACCAGAAAATTCGAAGTGACCCGTGATATCTTTGCAGCTTACTTCTCACTACGTACGTGTAAGTAAGTAGTGCATTTTATTGGGTCACCTGTATATATTCGAAGTGTAATTCAATAGGATATATTTATATTAAAACAACTGAACATAGTGCACTTTTATGTACTGTGCATTAATTTGCCCCAAATAATGAAGATCGGATGAACGTGTATTACACATTTGTCTATAAAACTTATGGGGGTATTTTGTACTTCAAGTAGCTTATAAAAACATAAAATTAAGGTTTACGTTGTAGATAGATTTTGTCGTGTTAAGTCGTTGACTGTCGTGAATTTGTGTTTGATTTCAGGATTGGACAGTGAAATTAGCCATGACATTAATTGAGGGAGTGGGAGATGAAGTAACTCAATTTTTTGCGCTTGTTGTTGTTGTATTGGTTGGACTGATTGCATGGTGGTCAACCAGAATTGCTGACCAACCTCTGATACGCACCGTTTTGATTCTTGAGCGGAGATCAAGACATCGTGTTTCTGTGGAGCAACCTCAAGTACCAGCTACAGCGAGCTCTTCGCTTGAGAACGGTATTGACACTGGCCAGCTTGAACCCCTGGGATCCAATGATGAAAATCAACAGGAAATAGCTGGTGGTGCTGCTTGTCAGATATGTAACAAAGAAACTGGTAATATTTCATCACCACCAGCTGCTGCCAGCAGTCCACATAACCTGAATGGTGATGAAACCTGGGAACTACATGAAAGCAGCAATGGAACTGTAAATGAGAGGCGCCAGTCTAGTTCATCTCCAGTATCAGTCCCAGGGAATGGTAACAATTTTGCAGAAAGTGGCAGCCATGTAGATGTTCCATCTTTCAATTCAGCTGCAAATGGTACACATTCCTGTCTTCTTCGAAGCAGGCGTTTAGCTTTCTTCCAGAGCAGACAGGCAACCCTGTTGGATTCTCCTGTCACTGATGGACCAGTACTTTCAACATCTAGCTCAGCTGACAGTGATAACATTGATACTGCTAATAGTATAAATAATGAACAAGGGCCCACATTCATTTCGTCAGACACTAATGATGATTTACCAACGACGGGGAGTATTCGAATACGACTTAAATATCTTAACGATGATCAGAAATTAGTGGAAGGAAGGCTGCATGAACAACTTGGAGATTTTAAGAGGTAGGGACTTTATTTTCTTTAAGTAGATTTTGATTAATATGTTTGCTATAAGACTTGAAACTTTTGATTTGGTTTATCCTGGTCCGTCACACCAGCAATAGTATAAAAGATTGTCACCTCCATACAGTGTGATTGATGTTAACACTGAATTCATCTTTACTCTTTTAAGTTCGTCCTCGTTTTTATGTTGAAAATTAAGCAATATTGATTGAATTTGAAGCTAAATGTTATAATACGATTTTTTCTATCATGTTAGAAAGCTTATCAAATGTACATATATGGTATGTATTCCAACATTTAAGTCTTACCTCATTCAAAGTTGCAATGGATGACAGTCAACATGCGGAGATTCTTGAAAGTGAGAGAGCGCCTACTGTCCGACAGCATGATATTGTACTTGGAGAAACTCCTTTCCACATCTGCAGACACAATGGGAGCGTACTTGAAGTGTACCAAATCACTAGGAGTAAGATCCTCTTCAATACTGAAAGTGCTGAAGGAGTCTCCTGACAGAATTTGAGAAATGCTGCATAATGTTTCTTAACCTGAGTTTTTATCCAGAACACTTTTCATTTTTCTTGACACCATTTTACAATGTCCCCCGACACTTTCTCCAAATCATTGGCTATTTTTTCACCAGAGTGAGTGAATCTTCTAGCGTTGCTCCTTTCTCCTGTAAGAATTCAATTTCTTTCGACAGGGAATTGAAATGTGCCTTTATGAAGGCCAGCTGTCCTTCCATTTCGCTGCACGAGAACTGTTCCTGAGTAGCTTCAATTGTTCTTGCATCCTCCGTCTTCATTGAATCTACAGTGTTTTTCACTACCTGAAAATGGTCGCAATAGCAAATTGCAGCATCAATCCACGTTCCCCACCTTGTAATGACGGGTTCCGGGGGCAGTGAACACCAGGAGCCATGGACTTCAAATGCATTTTACGGGGTGGAGCCTTGATGAAAATCTTCTTCGTCCTCGTCACGAGAACATCCACTTGAGGAAATTTTGATCTCACTTCCTCCATCACTCTATGCAGTACATGTACTAGGCAAGTAACATGCACCAATTTCATATAAAACGACTTTATTGACTTGCCTGCTTTTACAGTATATGAGGCCATATACCCTCTGGCCACAGTAGAAACATCGACCTGTCGAAGAGTTTACAAATTGTGGAATGATTAACGGATTGTAGCACCTCACACTTAAGCAGAAACACTTCACCTGGCCCGCCAATTTCCAAGGTTCCAACGATGACGTTTGCCATGCAGCGAGCCTCTGTATCGCAGGTTTCATCAGTGGAAACGAAAATCTTCTTCCCATGCACTTTATTCTTAATCATTTCCAGGATATTGTTGTAGCACTGGGAAAGGTAGTTCTTCCTGAGTGTGGATTCATCCAGGATGGAAAGACCACAGTTTACTTCCAGAAAAATTTTCAGTTTTCCATTGTTCAGGGCCCAAAACGGAATATTTGCGGACGCCAGAGCATCACACAGATCTCTGAAAAAAATCTGATGACTTATTTCCACCTCCAGATGAACACACTTGCAGTAACATTTGCACAGGTTTCTTTTTGTTCGACATTTGCACTGCTTGTACATGCTTTTCACGGCCAATATGTTGTTGTACCCATGAATCTCTTTTCTGCCACTACTTTCGTGTCACACATCTTGCAGTATAAAATGTCACCATCAGTTGAAAATATATCATCTCCAAACTCAGCTATAAATTGCTTTAAATGACACGATTTAGTTGGCTTTGCTTTTGGCATCGTGATAAAATTAATCACTCTAGCGCAACACAGAACTGAACTTTATCACCGAGAACCTTTCGTCAACTGTATCTTTATCTGAACGGTCAAGGGCGAGGAACTGAAGACAGAAGGAGTTTTATTGAACAACAGTGTCATATGAAGCAAGAGATTCCGACTAGAAATATGTGTAACTAAGCAAATTGCTTTGTACAAAGAGCCGCAGTGTGAATAGTCTTCGCCGTCCCCTGTTTTATGATATGTATTGTCAGCACTTCTGGGAAACGAATGGAAAGGACGGGCCAGGATTACAACCTATTATTGTATACAATGGCCTTTGTAGAGAGCGCTTAGGAGAAAGAGAAAGAATACTTTGCTTCCATATTATCACATTTCAGAAAACATATGAAGAAAAATTCCCTAAAATGTCCAAAAATGACAAGAAATACCCATAAAAGCCCCAAAATTTACCAAAAAATTACCTATAAAATTTACATTTCTGTAACCAGCGGCTCATATCTGAGCTTTATATATTTAAGAGCATCACATAGGATACAAAGAAAAAAGATGACATCATCAAACTCCAGGCCCTGCTAATCACATTGTAACAATAGTTTCCGCATATATTGATATGTCCTTCTGAAGATGGTCGCTCCGACCGGAACATTATGTCAAGGATGAAAGATTAAAAAGGAGAAAAAACATCAGTCACACTGGACAGATTTAATAATCTTTTATACTTGAAACTTTCGTGGCAACTACACATTATAACATCTGCCAGAGCAACTGTGTCAGTTCATAGTTGAAGTACATGGCATATTTTAATGGCAGAAGGAAACTTGGCAGCACTGTTCCATACTCTGCTTTGTATGAGGAACCTGCACTATCTTTGAATGTGTAGATTCCAGTTTATACAGGGTGTTTCACGACTTCAGGGCATAACTGCAGGAGGTGATTTCCTAGGTCTTTGTGATCAAAAAAGTTCATATAAACATGTGTCCAATTTTGGATGGTTACGGAGTTATGAGCATTTTAAACTCAGAATAGAAGGTAACGATCACTGACAATAAACGGAACAAAATAATAAACCAGCATAATACATGATACATTTAAAGTATGAATGTAAAGTTAACTTCGTGAAATTACCTTTAATTTGAATTGATTGGTGCTTATAGCTGATTTTCGAAAATGTCACTGCCGGCCGCAACACAGGCTGCCGCTCAGTTGTGAACTGTGCCGGACATACCAACCCACCCCCTCTCAAGTGTCGAGATAACGAGAACGCTCTGTCTGTAGCTGGCTAAAAATAGCAACCTGCCAGCTGACAGACACGGTTCATATGAGGGCCTGTACGGGAATGAAAAAATGGTCATAACTCCGTAACCGTCCAAAATCGGACACATGTTTATTTGAACTTTTTTGATCACAGAGACCTAGGAAATCACCTCCTGCAGTTATGCCCTATCATGAAACACTCTGTATATTGGTGGTGTTTTAATTTTGTGTAGTGACTATATTATGCCAACTTTAGTGGATAGATGGTGTCACATGGTCAGCGCAACGAATCTCCACAGCCATTAATTTCGGTTTTCAAGAGTTCCTGGGTACAGATCCAGAGGTGCTGGGTTCAGTTCCCGGCACTACCAGATTTTCTGAGAAGTAGTGGTTCTGGAACAGGGTCCAGTCAGCCTCGTGAGGACAATTGAGGAGCTATTTCAAGCTCAGTAGTGGCTCCGGTCTAGCAAACCGAGATTAACGGCTGTGGGGATCCGTTGCCCTGACCATGCAATACCCTCTATCTGCAAAAGTTGGCACTAACTTTGCTGACAAGTGGTGGTCGCTCAGTCGGTATAGTTCACTTGTGGACTATAGGCCATGGATTTTATAGTTTTATATGCCATATTGTTTCGTGATGTTTGAATATGATTTGGTCACCTAGAATAATGTTATATTAGCGGCTTCTAATAAACCTGAAAATATATTTAAAGTTGTGCATATTTATGTTAAGAGTATATTTTATGAGTCTGATTTGATCCAGGAATGTGAGTCAGAATAGCTTGGTCAGTATAGCAACAGGGTATGGGCTGGATGGCCAGGATTCAATTCCTGGCAGGGTAAGACATTTCTCTTCTCTGCAGAATCCAGGGGGCTTTGGAGCCCACCTGGCCTCCTGTACAACGGGTACCTGGGGAGATTTTCCCAGCAGTAAAGATGCTAGAGTGTGAAGCTGACCATTCACCTCCATCCAGTGCTTAGGTCAAGAATGGTGGAGCTATACCTGCGCTCTCCAGTATGTCTTCGTGACATACTGTTTAATTAGTTAAGCCCAGGGACAGCTTTACTTTTATCTTTATGTAGGAGTCCCACAGCAGTGATTTCCATGAATATGTACCATCAAAGATTAATGTGACAATTCACTTGTTTTCATCTTTGTCTGGCATGTATATAAGTAAGTAATATTTCATGAATATACATGCATTATGCAGCAACAAGAAACACATGAACTAATAAATAATGCAGTTTGATAGTGTTTTTTCATAATACTAATGAACAGCAATCATTATGGGTGTGTCATAAAAAGGAGCACTGTATATAACCGTGTGTTACATTCATTATATTTAGAAATTTTACCTAGATGAAAGACTAGGGATGTGCATGAAAAATATATAGTGACTTCCTCATGCAGAATTTGTTTCTTTCAAAAATAATGTCTTTCAGGCGTCACTTTGGCCTTGAGCTTGATGCTGACAAACTGGTTCGTCTCATCTTTAATGGTCAGGTACTGCAGAGTGACAGTGAGACCTTGCAAGGCTATGGGTTGTTTGACAACTGTGTAGTTCATTGTCTTGTGCACCAGCAGCGCTCTGGGTCAGTGAATCGGGCTGGTTCCGCTGAGAATGCGTCAACACGTGATTCAGCAACGAACTCCAATGTCGCAGCAGATGCAGCTCCCCACAGGGACTGGGACTTAGGAAACATTCTATTTGCTTCTTTGAGTGTCTTCTTGGGTCTTGCCTGGTACTGTCGCTACCAATATGTCCAGCTGTTTAATGCCACTACTACAGTTGCCCTTGTAGGTCTTACAGGAATCCTTATTGTGTCTCTGGTTGGGATCTACCTACCAGATCAAGATGGTATCAGGCAATGAACATTAGCATTATGTTGTTAAATCCACTTTTCTTATTTGTTAGCAGATTGAAAGAGGTATTGTTCCAGTATTGAATCTCTTGTAGTTTTCTGTGTGTCTGCATTCCCTAACAGTACATACATTAAATGAAACATCCTTATTGGAGTATATAAATTATATTAATACTGATATACAGGTACATTACTTTTGCCTTTAATAACATTACATTATTTCATAAATCAGAAGTCATTTTATAGCGAAACCAACAGATATAAAGTCCAGTGTTAATTCAGTACTTGGGAAGTTACTTCTCTTTTGAAAGTTACAACTTGACCCATCTCCATGTGCTTGTGGAAGAAGTTTCTTTAACACTTCTTCAAAAGTGAATGCTGTGAATGGATTATCAAATATATGCCTTCTGTTTTCCTTTAACAACCTTTAAAAATATACACTGCATAAACTATTGCTGTAAAAATTGTGAATCACATCATTTCTTTCCATGGTAAAACATGAAACAAATTTTTAAATTCTGCATAGAGCATGAGTATGGCAATACTGAGAGTAATCACATGGTATAATTTCTTAACCATCTACTGAGGGTGGCCTGGTCAAATTACATGTCTTTTTTCTGCTCGTTGTTTTAATAGGAAGATCTTATGTGTTAAAGTGCAAAGCAAAATTCTGATGTAATTAAATAAGATTGTTAGGTGAAAATGTGTAAATGTAGGTATATATATGAATTTGTTCTTTAAAATTTTAATTTTTAAATCATTTTTCATCAGTGATATTGAAATTTGAAATGCTTCAATATTGTCCATGAGGGTAACATGTTCTGCATTACTGTGCTATCTTCATGCAGTATTGTTTAGAAATAAATTTCTTGTGTCTATATGCATCTAATGCCTGCCAAAGTACTAAAATATTCCATATGTAAAATTTGTAAAGTAGAAAATAAAATAATATTTGTAAATACTAATAGTCATTAGTGACTTTTTTTGGTTTGCAGATTGTCCTTATGTGTTTGTTTCTCTGTCTCTCTCTCCAACCCCTCCCCAGTGCTTTGTCAGCAGCATTGATCATACAAGACTGAATGAGAGGATGGTTGAATAATCAATTGGTAAAGGATGTGGAATGAAGCATCTCTGGTAATTTTATGGCACTAGTCCATTATTTGCCTGGACTTGCAAAGACTTATCAAAGTAACTAGTCTGTGAGCCAAGATTTGGATCATATACCACCTAAATGAAAAGAAGGTAGCTACCATATAGTTTTCAGAGAAATGTTTTCACGATGGAATATGATTTATGTACAACTGTGAGCCATGTTATATCGACTTTATTGTGAACATTAATCATGTTATTTATATTATCACGTGTGAGTGACTGTAGATGGGATTTGGATTGGTAATTATTAGTGCCCGGATGTTTATGCGCTAAAAACACTTAAAATATACCCTAAAAAGCGGGAAAATATGCACCAAAAATAAAACAATAGGCACTTAAGAAACAGGTCACTTTATTCAGACTCACCTATTTACATGTATCATTAACTGCAGAAAGTAGCATCACAATAGGCAACTAGAAGTCTTTCAATGTTTTTTGGAGACAAACTATGTCTCTTGTTCGTCAAAATGAGTTCATAGGCTGAGAATGATCTTTCTACAGTTCTTTGGACAGTATTTATACACTGGCGTCGAAGGTTCGGAACATTCATTTGGCAAAGGTACCCTAATTCCACTCAAGTACTGACTGACTGAATCTTTTTTAGTCCTGGGTTCGAAGTCAGCACAATTTCTAACTTTCATTTAATCATCTCTCCAATTTCGCCTGGAGCGGAATTCAGTGAACAAGTTGCTTTCTGAACGAGTTGAAGTGAGTCATGATGGAGTGAACCACAAGATTCTGAGCTCTCAATGGCTTTTGAAATTCACACCTTGATAAACAGTATCACATCCAAACACCACTTTTGCTTCAAGGACAAATGCATACTCATCTTAAAGTTTTGCAACCACTTCTTTTACTTGACTGAAATTCTCCTGATAAAATGAAACTGCGGATAACCGTGTCCCCCACCTAGTTAGGACAGGTTCAGGTGGCAGAGGAACCTGAGGTAGGCAATCTGTAGAACTGGACACGGCTTTTGGAAGCAGTTTTTTTTTCCCACTTGCAATTAAATTGTTAACAGCTGGAAACTGTGTGCATATTTTTCTGCAGTATGGTGTAATCTGTGCTCTAAACAGGTTACATGTATAAGATTTGGATAAAATACTTGTAAGGCCTTTGCTGCTTTCAACATATAGGAAGCTCCATCTGTGAGTAACACAAGCACCTTACAACAATTATTCTCAATTTCAGATAGCCATAGTAGTAGCAGAAAATCATATACAAATCTTGTTATTGTGCTATGGTTGGTTTTCTCTAGTACTTTGCAAGCAAGAAGATGAGGTTTGTCGGGTTCGTCTGGATGTAACTTACCAACTACGAAATTTGTTATGTATCGGACACATAAATTGGTTGCCTCATCCATCGATATCCAGACACAGTTCCCTCCGATGTCAGAAAGTACACAATATTTTTCCAGAAATGATCGCACAACTGGATTGCTTAATTTGTTCCATAGAATGTTGCTGCAAACTAAAGCCTCACAAAGATCGGCTGAAAATGTATTAACAGAGGACTTGGGTTGGACCTGTGTAAGTAGTAGTTGTGGTGTGCTGTTCTTCTTCCCCTTCTTTGCCATAATATGTGCAGTCGTTCTTGAGCGTTGTTCAAGTTGAAATTTCTTTTTACATTTTACTTCCTTTGCGCAAACTTGACAGTACATGACGACACCGTCTGTTGAATAGTCACTATTACCAGACACCCACCGAATTTTTAAATATCTACTGCACTTTTCTTTAGGCATTGTCAGTACACGAACACTTTTTTGATGCAGAATATTAAAGAAAAGAATAACACATTAACTGAAGAGACTTCTCTCGAGACCAACCCTCTGATGCTACTGTCTGCTGTGGTGGTCAATGGAATGCAGGAAAATCCCACCCCCTCCCTTTTGAAATAGCCAAGCTACCTGCTTGTATTGTAAGTTGTAAAAGTGCCGTTACTCAGAGAGTTGAAAATAGCAACTGGCAAGTGATGTCAAAACAAAGGAAAAACCGATTTTGTTAAGAGAATATTGATGAAAAGAGTTAGTTAATACATAACATTGGCATGTCAAACCAAAATAGATTCCATAAGCACCCTCTTTATGCCTCAAATAATACCAATAAGATGATTAAGATTATATATGCAGAAATATGCTCTTACATTTAGAATATGCAATAACGACCAAAAACCCTCAAAATATACATTTGCACATGCACATATGCATTTTCAAAAAATCCGGGCCCTAGTGATCTCTCAAGACTTCACTGTCCCAGCCAGTACACAGGCCACCCGTGACAGAGAGAGCGGCATGATGCTACTTGTTCTCAGTAAATATGTTTCGCTTTTGTGGAACAGCCTGTTGGCGTGAACCCTGACATATGACACGAACTTCCAGCAGTGCGAGCCGTGTAATGCGAGGTCAAGTCACCGCCAGATAACCTGCATTTGTCTACAAACCAGTGTAATTCCCGTTGAAACTTCAGCGGAAAATCCATGCTTTTGTTAACTGTCTACAGGGAGAGAGAATTTAATGATAAAGTGTCCGCACAAAGACTGTACCACAATAGTTACACGCCTGCTTGTGGTCTCAGGATATCTGGGCAATTGACAATGATGTTTAGCGTTTGCGCACGTTTCGTCTCCTGGGAGGGAGATAGGGGTTCCATACGATTTTCTTTTTGGATCTGCATTCTCTTTCCTCTACCTTTCCATTTTCTCCTCCTAACCCTTTTTATTTGTCCGCCCTGTAGTAGTCTTGTCCTCCTCTCTCTCTTTCTCTTTACAGTAATGCAGTTTAGGCAAATTCATGCTGATCACAGTGACCATGCAGACGAAGGCAAGAACATTCTTCGTCCGCTCGATTACTGGAGCTGTGGGTTCCAGTCCCACTGAAGGCGAGGATGTCTGTATTGTGTGCGTTTATTCTGTTTGTGTTGTTCCGTGTATAGGTTGAGGCCTTGCGACGCGCTGCTCCTCATCCGAGGAGTCCTACTCACCGTGTATAGGATTAAGAAACTGAAAAAATGGCCAAGGCCCAACAGGGCTGTAGAGCCATAGGTAGATAGATAAATGTTGCTCAAAGACTAACAATTGTAGATATGGAAGTACAGTAAATCCTCGATCAAATTAAATTCGGATTTAATGACAAAATTCTTCGGTACTTCCGCTAACAGTCTGGCTGATATGTCGTGTTATGTCTATGTACTTGGCCAGTCGTGCTATGATAGGAATGCATGTCTGGTACATAGATTGTTCTTTCGCAGATTAAGTTTGTGTTCTGCTGTGTTTGGTTTGTTCTGAGTTATAACTGATTTCTTTTAATCAATACATTTCTCTCGTCGTATCTGTTCCTCATTACAACTTCCTTGAAGCATTTCTTTTTCACCGGAACCTTTTGCTCGGTCAAGATCTTTGTCGCTCATGTTGCTGGAAATGTATCTGGACACATGAGCAATTCGTTACACCGTTCCACTAAGAAGTTCCTCATTTTCATGCATATTTCAGCAGGCCAGTTATGAAACATTGCATCACTGAGATTTGCAATAACTTCTGATAAGGCCAGGTAGTCTGTGGCCATGTCATGGATAATGCAGGCAAAACCCTCAATATTAGTGACGGTAGGAGGTAATGCCAGGATCTTCGCTAAAGCTTTCTTAAAAGAATCTCATCTGATGTGGTGGAGTATGCTGAATACTTCACTGCGTAGCTCCTCTGTCACTGGTCCTTCTTCGCTGGTGCTGTTTTGCTCCCACTGTTCAAGTTCCTATTCGTCACCGTTAGTATGTTCGAGATTTGTATCACATCATATCATATCTTTATTGCATTCAAAGATGGATCATTGGTATGAGGCCACAAGATATAAAAATTGTCACAGAATATATTACGTGCATCAAGCAGAACGACATACAATTCATAATATATGCAACAAGCCATCATAAAATAAATGTTGTCAGTTACGTATGCAATACCTGTAATTAAAATAAATCTACAAGAACATAAAACCAAATAGAGAACTATATAATAAAAGAGTATACCAAAACAACTCAGTCAATGGTTTAAAACAGTGGTTCTCAAACTGTGGGGCACGACCCCCAGAGGGGGGGGGGCAGCATACTTTCCTACAGATAAAAATTAAAACTGCCCTAAATCAGTTAGTCAACTTGTACAGCGAATGTCTTACCAAAGAAGCGCTGGATGGGCTTGGAGACTTCAAATTATTCAAACTGGGAAATATGCAGATGACCTTGTGTTAATGGCTAAGGCAGAAACTGTGCTACAGGCATGGAAATGAATGTGGAGAAAACAAAAGTAATGAAAATTTCGTGACAACCAACCCCAGTCACAATAAAGATAGACCAAAAACAACTGGAGAATGTGAAACGTTTTAAATATTTGGGTAGCTTGTTAACAGATGACGGAAGGTGTACTAGTGAAATTAAATCCAGGATTGCCATGGCAAAAGCTGCATTTAGCAAGAAGAAGAATCTTTTTACCAGCAAATTGGACTTAAATTTGAGGAAGAAACTAGTGAAATGCTAAATTTAAGCATAGCTCTGTATGGGGCTGAAACATGGACACTTAGGGCAGTAGATCAGAAACATCTGGAAAGTTTCGAAATGTGCTTTTGGAGAAGGATGGAGAAGATCAGTTGGACCGATTATGTGAGAAATAAAGAAGTGTTAATTAGAGTCAGTGGGCAGAGGAATATCCTACACGAAATAAGAAAATGGAAGGCTAATTGGATTGGTCATGTTTTACACAGAAACTGCCTTCTAAAAGAAGTTATTGAAGGAAAGATAGAGGGGTGGATAGAAGTGACAAGAAGACATAAGAAGAT